AAACGGTTCCTTGTTACGAAACCTCGTATATATAAACAAAAGAACAGTTAATTTTCGAAAAAAGAAAAAAGAAAATTCGTTGAATTTGATTTTATTTTTGTTTATTTAATTTTCTATTTATTTAATCTCTTTTGTTTTACATTAGAATATTCATATGCATTATCTACTTTATGCAGCAAAGAAATTAATTAAAAAAATTTACTTATCAGGCACCTTTAACTCCGACGTGCAACATGTCACAAAAATATGAAAGTATTATTTTTAATTTATTTTAATTTATTTATTTAAATTGATTTGCGCAATAGGAGTATCACGTGATTGTAGGATTTCGAACTTCTTTCTAATTACAAGCAAGAAGGCTTTAAGAAAGTAAAGATTTCACGTCCTCGTTAAGGTATAAGTGATCATGAGTATCTTTACACTTGCATATCGTTATCTTTTGATCTATTTAGTTATTTTTTTATTTATTTATTTATTATTATTATTAATTTTTTTTTTTTGTTTAAACCCCCCGGTTAAAAGGTATTTTGTTTTATATTTTTCCCGATTCATAGCAAATCTACAATGCTAAAAGAGACTTTGGAATCTTGATCTTTTATAAGTGAACTTTCGGAGAAATCGGAATTCCTCACCGACACTACCGATCGATCAGCGAATTGCGTGTTCCCTCGGATGACACCGTTCATGATTTGATAAAGTTATGCGGTACCACATGCACTGTATATTGGTTATTATTCTCATTTTTAATAAGAATAGCTGCAATATAATTATTAGTTTACCAAATCATTTATTCTATTCGTGCCCGAAATAAAAAATTTGCTCTCGCATGATCTTTTTTTTTTAAAAAAAAATACCTTTGTAAACTTCATGCACATGGTTAATCATGATTTTTTTTATGCGGTTCACAAGTTTTCTCCATCCAATAAGGTTTAAACGCAAAGAATTCAAGGTTTTTTTTTGTTGTGAAATTAAGAATTACGTTATACACGAATTAACTTTTATCATTTGCTTAATTACAAGGACATTACTGGTACATAATGAAGTCCCCGAACTCTTAAGAATCGTTGAATAAACATTGTCATCAATCTTACCGGGAAATAATATTTGTAATTATTACACCAAAATACATATGACTTGACGCTAAATGCCACAATTTACTGTTCCTCAAAAGAGGTTTTATAATTAGATTTGTTTTGCATCAGGTAGGCCCTCGATTGGTATTTGCCAATGTGTATTTAATTAAAAGAATTTTGTTTTTGGCCTATTATTTATTTTAAGTTGAAAAAAACAATAAACAACGGAAAAAAATTTATTTCCTTTTTCTGTTCGTTCCATGCTTTGCATTGCGTCATAATGTCCTGCTTTTTGTTTGATTTTTGAATAAATACCGTTGCGATCCCATATACAATTAAATTCTTCATTATTTGAACTTTTGGCTAGACCCGATTGCCATATCGGTTAACAGAGCTAATAAGCATTTCCCTATTACTTTCCTTCTTTTTCCTCCCCTCCTACCTTCTAAATCACTAGCACTCGTCTCACTTTCATTTTTACAATTTTGTGCCGTATCACATTCTTTTTCTTATTATAATCATAAAGATTTTTTTTTTTTTTATTAAGATCACCATGAGACACTTTCAAATCCAATTTCCAATCCTTTCCGTATTTTTCGCGCTAGTTACTATTTTATCACAAAATGAAGTCGATTCTGCTGTCATCAAGAGTAATTTAATTAATTTTTAAATCCCCATCACCTATCGGTTAGTCATTTTACTAATAAAATATTTTTCCCTTCATTATCAGAAAGGGCCTTGGCTCCAATAAATAAGAATCCGGGTTCTTTCAAAGTAGTTGGAGAGTAAGTAATCATCAAACTTGATGCTAATCAAACACAAAAATTAAAATCACTTTCTATTCGTATATATAGTTCAGGAATAGCGGCTATGCACATCGTCTTAACTGCGGCAACAAAAATCCTAATCATCGACAAAGGTAAAGCATATGAAATGTAAATGAATAAAAAATGTAAGAGATTTTTTTTGTTAAATAAATTTTTATTGCTCTTAGTTGAAAATAATCCGATCAAGCAAAGGGATGGTCGTGTGGCCGTTTCTGTTGAATATGATCTCGAGACAAATAAGAAACGTGTGCTCAATCTCAACACAAACACTTTCTGTTCTGCCGGATCTTTCCTTGGTAACGGTACCTTAGTTCACACTGGTGGCGCGGAAATTAAGGTGAGCAATGAATGTGGTGTTTATGATACTATGATACATTATGTACACGTGATAAACCTTTTTTTTTTTTGAATTTAAAAAATCAAGCCCACAGAAAAATTTCAAGAAGGTTTTGAAAGTCTCCGCTTATTTGAGCCATGTAGCAACGGTAAATGCGATTGGTTCGAAGATCCGAAGGGTTTAACTTCCAAAAGATGGTACCCATCCATGGTCACGTATGTAAAATAAATTATTTTAACATTCAATTTGTTTCTATGTAAGTGACCTTTCCCTTTCTTATTTTTTTTTTGTTTAGACTATCTGACGGAAGAGTATTCATCCTCGGTGGTGCAGTAAAACCTGTTGCTGCTAACAACGAAGAAGTTAACAACCCCACTTTTGAATTCTTTCCAAAAGAAAATTCCAATCCCGAACCGTTTCCATTCCTTTTAGAAACGTAAGTGGCACACGTGATCTGCGTCCATTTTTATCATTTTAATAAAAACGTTGCTAACGCTAACTTTACAACTTCTCAACTAGTATGCCATTCAATTTATATCCCATAATTCATGTCTTGCCAGGTCCAGCAAATCAAAAACGTCTTTTCGTTTTCGCAAATACCGATAGTATCATTTGGGATTGGGGAACAAAGTCAACTGTAAAGCGACTTGATAGGCTTCCTGGCCCTCCAAGGTCGTACCCACTTACCGGTACTTCGGTCATCCTGCCATTAAGTCCAGAAGACGATTATGCACCAAGAATACTCGTTTGCGGTGGTGTCGCAAAAAGAGACGTAAAACAACCAGCCGATAATAGTTGTGGTAGAATCAATCTTGCTAATATCAATAATGCTAAATGGGAAAGAGAAGATTTTGGAGGTATTGGAAGAAATATGCCAGATGCTGTTATTTTAGCAGATGGAAAGACTTTATTCTTGAACGGTGCTGGAATAGGTGTGGCTGGTTACAGTAAGTAGTAGAAATTTTTTTACCGTTATGTTCATTCATTCTTCTCATATGCTTGAAATAATATATATATATATATTTTTAACCATCAATAGATAACAATAATAAACAAGCTGCCGATAACCCAGTTCTTACCCCGGTTCTTTATGATCATCTTGCTCCCAAAGGAAGTAGATTTACCAGACTTACGTCCTCTAAAATTCCCAGATTATATCATTCGGTCGCTACTTTGGTAACTGATGGCAGAGTTTTTGTTACCGGAAGCAATCCAAACTCAGTTGTCCGAACCAAGGATACCAAATATGTTACCGAGTAAGTTTATAAATTTTTTCCCCGCGCGTTTTTATGTCAAATAATTTAACGGATAAAAAATAAATATTTATATATAATTTTTTATTTTTTACTTAAAGTTTCCGCGTTGAAATGTTCACGCCACCATATTTACAAAAGGGTATCGAACGTGCCATTATCACATCAGTAGCCGGTAAAACCATATTAAACAAGGAGGCGATTCGAGTTAAATACAATAATGTAGTTCCGGTAACCGTGACAATTAATGATCCGAAAGCGGTATTTTCAGCAGCTCTCGTTCATCACGGATTTGTTACTCATTCAATTCACATGTCACAAAGATATGTTGTTTGCACCGTTCAAGATGTTGTTAAAAAACTCAATGGGGTTGTCACTATGAACGTCGTAATGCCACCAAATGGTAATATGATTGCTCCCGGTCGTAATTACCTTTATATTAACAATAAAAGTGTACCCGGAATAGCTGCTATTGAGGTTATGATTTCTAACTAGATTCTATAGAAATTTAATTACTATTAATTTTTGTATTCAAATATATATACTGTATATATATATATTTATTTACTTATATATCGATATAGAAATATTATTGCATTTAATTTAATAAATTTTGGCCGTCGAAATTACCGTTAAAAAAACTTTTATGCTTTGTCGGTTTTCCGCATTATCTTGGTCATATGGTTCAAAGTAAATAAACGAATCGGAAATTAATTCTTCGCAGATAATACAATAAAAAAAAAAAAAAAAAATTTATGAAAATTTCAGATAACTTAAATATAGGAATTTTCTTCTTTTAAGTTTTTCCTCATCGCTACGATTGTAAGTGCATTGAAACAAAAATTGAATGCCGTATAAAATTTTAATTTGATTGGTTCTTTATTATCTATTTTTTTTTTTTTTTTTTTTTTCTGTATCCGTAAAAGTTTTCATTTTAAAATATTAACTGACATCTGGAATAGTGGCTCACTAGAAATATTATTCACCCACGAGGGTGAATTATTTGATAGTTGGGGAATACTATTAAAAGTGAGCTACCGAGAAACCACTTCTTGGACTTTTAGTTCGATATACTGTTCCAATCTTAATTCACTTTATCAAAAGAAAAGGTTAGCCCAGAATTCTTTTCCAGAATTCTTTTACAGCTAGATGGAAAGACAAAAATTTATTATGAATCGGGGGAAAAAAGTTCTCAACGAGGAGAGTTTACTAGAACGAACTTTGATCATATTTATTTTCTTCATTCGCTAATCATAAATCACACGAATTCTCAAAATGATGTAAAGGTATTAATATGAGTCAATTAAACAAACGATTGTAAAAAAAAAAAAAATTTGAAGCGATCACGTCAAGTTAAATTTTTCTTGATTCGGAGAATATAGCCGTGGATGATTAACCATATTAATGAACGTATGTACTTTAATTTCTGTAACGAAACTTTATTTTACTTGGTATAAAATATTTTCCGTAGTTAGGACATGATTCGTTTATCAAATGTAACTTGTTGATGATGCAAAGATTGCATAAACAGCGTCGTACAATGGAATGTTCTAAAGTAGCACGCTGATTTTTCATTGAAAAAAAAATTTTTTCACCTCCTGTCTTGATTTTTGTTAATATCAATAATAGATGATTCATTATAGTTATTCCTCTGCACCAACATTCGAGGATTTATCACAAGAAGAACAATTATGTATAGCAGAATCTCTTGTGCCAGGAGAAACCTATGATGTTATAATTAATCCACCAATTTATTCAGAAAATCCACATCATTCGGGTGGTGGAACAAGTTTTATTATACAGCGAGGTGGTTCTATCACAGTCGAAGTAACTGAACCTGAGGTTGAATCATTGCCTACTTACGATGATGTTTCAACTGATCCACCCCCTAATTTTAACACTAATGATCATGATGACGATGACGACGACGACGAAGACGACGACGATGAAAATATTTCCGCTACATTGACAATTAATAATCCTTCGATTAATTATGATGGAAATCCTCCCGATTATAACACTTCATATTATCCTCCAAGTTATGGTTCTAATCCTCCTGATTACATAGATGCGGCCATTCAGTCCAATTATGATTTAAATCCACCTCCCAATTACGAATCAAATATTTAAAATTAATTCCATGATTAATTAATTATAATTTTTAAAGAGGTGAGTTTTTTTTTTACGAAAAGTGAGAGAGATATATTCATGAATATTTATTTAAAATTACTAATGACCAATAAGTAATTCTAATTAGTTTTTCAAGTTAATGATTTATTTTTATGGGAATGTACGAAGGTTATTTATATTAAGTATTTTTACAGATTGAAAAATATAATTTTAGTTAGGAATTATTTAGCGAAATTTCATTCACAGGTATTTAATCTTTAGAAATCTTTTTTATTAGTATCATAATTGAAAGGTTGTAGAAATGTTTAATTTCTTGGAAAAATTTTATTTATTTCCAAATAGAAAAACTTCAATTGAAATAAAACAAAAAAAAAAAAAAAAAAAAAAAAGTTTAATATATAAGTTACCATTCATTATAATTTGAATTATAAATTATTGCGACGGTTTTTTTTATCACCCATTATTATTTGATCTATTAAGTCCCAACTCGGTTTTAATTTTTATTCCTTTTAATATAAATGGCTGCATATGGAAACAATTTTACGATCTAACATAACTAAAACTGGTTTTGTTTCCATTTATTATTATAATATTAAAATTTAAACTTAAAACAATCAATCTTTTTATTTAGATCAATTCAATGCATAATACCGCCCGCCTTCTGAAAAGGGATGATGCGTTAGGTTTCGTATCTAACTTAAAACGGTTGAATGCGTTCTGCGACCACCTTGACCAAAATCTATAATATTATCCCTCACCGATTTGTATAATTAGCCTCATAATGTCAATAGATTCATATCTTGCCAAATGATGGATTAAAATAAATTTCCAAATTTCGACTCGAATTGATACGACAAAACGACAATATTCTCCTCCCACTTGAATTCTTCACGTTGTAATGGTGTTTCATCTGCTTATATCTCATGGTTCATCTACGCATTGATTCAAATTTTCCTTCTCTGGTTATGAAATAATCTTTGAGAGGCGTAAAGAAAAACAAAATATATATAAATCGTAACCATTATCATTAATTAATATTTCAAAATATCAAGTGAATCTGACGAATCAGCAATATGATGGAGAACTATGTTCAAAATTATATACCGATTAATTTTATAAAAAAAAGAAAATTGCAAATGATTATAAATGTAACGGGACAAATTAAATTGTTAATTTTAAATATCCCAAATGCAGGTAATTTGTAAAAATGTTTAATTTTATTTATACTTTTTTTTTTTTTTTTCTGATTTCCTTGTGTTTAAAATGGAATGAGAGGTTAAATTCATAATTTCGTTATTGAAAGCGTAAAATTTTTTTTTTCGCATTTCATTCGATCCATTCTTTTACATTAGATAACAAAAATCTTGCTCAAAGTATTGTTTATTTAATCTTTAGTTCATTTAAGATTTCATCGATCGATTCATAAAATTTTGATAATATTTTAGATTGAACACTTTATAACATTTTTTTTAATCACCTAGATAAAATATTAATTTATTTACGCATCACGTTTAACAAAAAAATAGATAGATATATACATTAAAAACTATACAAAGAACACTGTATAATTTCATTTTTAAAAAAATAACGAATATTATGTACAAGGAAATAACCAGTTTCAAAATTATTTTCTTATGTACAAATTAAAAACTACACTAAAAATTAATGAGATGTTTGGGCCTATCCTTCTTTTCAATTTTTTTAATATTTCTTCTTCGTTTCGTATTTGTACTTCGTTTCGTATTCGTCTTCGTATTTGTCTTCGTATTTGTCTTCGTATTTGTCTTCATATTTGTCCTCGTAACCATTAGGTGTACGTTTGTAGTATTCTTGAGATTTTAATAAGGATTAATATTGGTTATAAATCAATCATAATCGATATTTGATGGTAGTAGGTAACTTACTCTTCGTTTCGTATTTGTCTGTTTCGTATTTGTACTTCTTTTCGTATTCGTCTTCGTATTTGTCTTCGTATTTGTCTTCGTATTTGTCTTCGTATTTGTTCTCGTAACTATGAGGTGTACGTTTGTCTACATTTTCTTCATTAACGGGTTTTTTGTCTGCTACGAGAGCAAGAGCAACTGCAGCGAAAAAGGACAAAAGGATGAGTACGATGGTGACTTTCATTTTTAAGGTGAATTTATTTTTTTTATGATAGAAAGAAGTGAAGAAACTTTTCAGAGGAAAAGATAGAGTGTTTATATACTTGTCTCATACTTAATGATCTTTGTGATTTCGTTATGGGAATTAATATTGAAATCGTAAAGTTATTAGCGAAGCCTCAACTTTAAAGTTGAAATATATAATTTTTCTTTTTCGAATTGTTCGCGTCTTTTTTTCACATGAGGCTTAGGATTATGCACAAAAGAGAAGACAATCTAATGAATCAAACCAAATTTAGGCTTTCATCGATTGATCGGTTTATTTTCATCATTGTCGGATAGAATAAATTGATTTCATTTTAACAAATTTGTCTTATTTTGGAATACCATGAGGCTTTCGGATTTTTATAATTCATTTGCCAAATGCTGAAAGGATCAATAAATTTCATATTGAGGCTTATTTTCAACTTTCATATTTTTAATTAAAGGAAAGTTCCAAAATGGTCATAGCATTACATAATTTTTTTTTTTAATTCTTTCGCATTTTAAATTTGGTAATGTGACTTTAGGGTACGAATTTCGCTTTATTATTTTGATCGACCTATGGTTTAAAAATACATGAAGATTAATAATACAACTAATTAAATACCTTATTCTATTGTTGCAATTTTTGGTCTGCTTAAGCCATGAATATAATTCGGGAAGAAGGCAAATTCACGATTTGGACGAATTTACCTTTTTTTTTTTTTTTTTTTTTTGAATTTATAATATTCCCCCACCCTCAACCGGTTGATTGATCTTTCGTTAATCTTTGATTCATCTGGATTCATAAACAATCAAGCCGAGCCTCGATTTAAGCCTCGACTGTAGGAAATAAAAAAAAAAAAGGTAATTCATTGAAGGAGGAAAATTCGAAAATTCAATTTACTTTTTTGGATATCACCGATCTGCAAAGCTGAGCCTCAACTTTAAGCCTCCGACCAAACGATAGTAACAAGATTAAATTTATGAAGTTTACTTTTTCGGATTAAAGATTTGAGATGTAATCTGAGCCTCGAGCTTAAGCCTCGATAAAAAGATAAATTTCGGGTTGGGACAACAAAATTAATGAATTACTTTTATTGGATTGCGAGAAATCAATGTTTGAAAGCTAAACTATACATGGAAATTTTCAAAATTTGAATGAATATTTATTTTCATTTTATCATGATTTAAAATTTACAAGATAAGGGAGTGTTTTGGAAATATATAATTAATAATTATGAATTATTCATATTATATAGTTGCGGCAGTTTCGTAGTTCACGTGTAATGGAAAGTCAATTTTATAGATCGTGGTAAATGATCTTCAAATATGACGGTTCTGAATTTTAGGAACTTTTATCAAGTTGACATTTTTATTTCAAAAGTCATTATACCTATAATGTTATTCTTTTACCCCCTCCCCTTTTCAATTTCTTCGGTAATTCTAATAAGAGGATCTTTGGATTTAAATTCCAAGTTTTTTTTTTCTTCCCCTTTAACCACTAATTACTCCAAAATCAAGACGATTAGAATAAGGAAAAAAAAAAAAATTACACACATGCTTCTTATTTCATACCTCGTTTGAATAATACAAAACTTGTCACGGCAAATATAGGAATGCTTACCATAATAATAGTATATTTCCTATATCATTATAATAATGAGAAAACTTCATAGGTTTACAAAGACATGAAAATGAGGGTTAAATTACATTCTTAATTTCCGTACATCCATCGAATTCTCAAATTTTGGATTTGACATACTGGTATAAAGTTAGGTAAGTGGTGGCTTGGAAAAAAAAAATATGTATATATATTTTTTTAATGTGACACAACTTCACTAACTATATCGGTGAGGTTGTTCAATCTTTTTTTTAACACAAAAATACAGAAAAATAAAATACTTTCTCCCATGATTATTGAAAGTATGTTTATTTTTCCTTCAAAATCATGATTGTTTTGTTTTTATTTCCGTTACTATACGTTTTTAATAATGATTTTTAATCAATTTGTTTAAAGATGTCATCTTATTTATTATACGAAATTTTTGAGAAGATATTTTATTATTTAAGAAATGATACGGGAACATTGTATTCTTGTTTGTTGGTTAAAAGATCATGGTGTAGAAGCATTGTTCCTATCTTATGGAGTAATCCATTCAAATCGGTCAAACCAGGAAAGGCTGGAAAGCTGATGGAAACCTATTTAAAATTTCTGCCATGTGAACCGAACCAAAATGCACATTTGCTTTTGAGAAATGGAAAGGATTTATTATCTTTATTGAGAGGAAATTCAACCTTTATATTTGATTATCCGATTTATTTAAAAGTTTTGGATTGTTTAGAACTAAACCGAGTTATTAAGGAGTGGTCTATTTTGATCGTTCCACGGGAAAACTCTAGTTATTCGGGTCAATTGGAATATTGTTCGAGGTGGTTTTCAAATAAAATTATAAATTTTTTTATCAAGAAATGCGGGAGAATCGAGACAATGATATTAATTTTAGATGTTTATCATTTTTATGGAATACCCGCTGTTAAAAATGTAGAAGAACTTGTTGGATTTACTTCTCTTCGAACGCTACACCTTGACTATTGTTGTGATGGACATGTATTAAGTAATGTTCGAGATAACTATCGTTCTATTGAAGAATTATGGATTTCATTCATAAAGACTGGCGTTAATACAGACGCATTGATTAAGCTTATTAAATCTCAAAGGGGGTTAAAGGATTTCAGACTTCGAAATGCCAGCTTTATCATGGAGAATTTCTTTGGAGTTTCTAATGATCTCTTGAAAGCTTTGATGACGCAAAAGGATACATTGCATACCGTTCAGTTCTTTAACTGTCAATTTGTCGGATGTAAATCACTGGAACCTTTAGCTGAATGTACAAATATTAGTCGATTAGGTTTTTTTAATTGTGAAGGAATGATTGGGGAAAAGATTGTACCTTTGGCTGTATCTCTTAAAAAATTAAGTGTGTTGGCATTGGCCATATATGAAGGTTTTTCCGCCGATGTAATGATCAACATGATCAGGAATTCTCAAGAAAGCCTTAAAAGGATTTCGTTTCCGTTGGCAACCTCGGAAAATTATGTATCGAGAGTATTTCGCGACATGACACCTTATTCGATGAATTTAATTGGAATCACAGTTTGTTTTCAACTTGGGGATGATGAAAGTTTCAGATCTTTCTTATCGCTTTTGGATGCTTGCCCAAATCTAGAATATTTATGTCTTGAAGGGGGTGATAATGACGGAACCCCATTGGATTTTGATGATCCTTGCATGATTATGGGATTTGAAAGGTTGGCTAAGATCATGCCTCGTAAAGTTCATCGATTGTTACTTTATAACGTTTCGGTATCTCCTTTATCATTACAATCATTTCTTGATAATTGCGTTGCGAAAATCAAATATTTGGGATTATATGAATGTCCATCATTTTTCGATAATCATATTTCTGTCATCATCGAATACGCTCAGAAACATAATGAAATGTTAAAGAATTTAATAATTCATCGGTGTCACCTTGTCAACATAGAAGCGATTCATCTTGCAATGGAAGTTATTGAGAAAGTTCAATGTAGTGATCAGGAACCTCGAGACATGGAATTTACTACTTGGTTAGAATTTTAAAGGTTTTCAAATTTAGATGCTTTCTTATTGAAAATAATAAAGGTTTCTATTTATATTTGTATATAAATTTAAAGAATAATAAAATTCAAAGAGATCTATTGATCCATCAAGCATGTGTTTTATCGTGTTTGGAAATGATAGCTGCAATGTAATAATTGTAAAAATAAATTTTACTAGATTTAATAATTATTCGAATAATATTTTATTTATTTTTTTTTTTTTTGAGGGGGTTAATCTTTTGTTTAGAAATACCGAAAAAAAAAAATTTTATTTAGAGAATATCGGTGAAGAGGATCGAGATATGATATAAAATGTCTATAAAATCAATAGTTATTTCATCCTTTGTAAGATTGATCGATCAAAGGATTTTTTTTTAGCAAAGATAAAATTTTATTAAATTTTATACGAAGCAGATAAAACAAATTTTGCACATTTTATTATTTAAAAATAGGAATTTATGTAAATATTAAGCGTAGGTCATAGAAATCTTGCGGTATATATGAATTTTTTTGAAAGATTATAGTTAAAGGATTTTATTGGAAATTAGTCTTACATTAAATTATTAGAAAATGCGAATTCTTTTTTCCCTTACATTATTATATGTTAAATATTAACTTAGATCCTGTATGTTTATTTGTTTTGGTCGTTAAACGGAAACAATGCTATCTTATTAACCATTATGTTGTAAAAATAAATCTCGATTCGGACGTAATGATGGATTAAACAGCTCTAAAATAAAGTTGACATTATGCGATAAATCCTATTAATCCGTAAACCGTAAAGTGATTTTAGTAAAGTTTTCACCTCCAATAATGTACACACTCGTTCATATTTGCATCTATAGACCCCCCTACGATTAGCCCTTTCACAGTTTAAGTAAAATTGTTTAACAATTAAAATTTAGTCAAATTAATTTTTATTTAGGTTAGTTTATTATTTTTGAAATAATTAAACAAATTTGCTTTTATTATCAATTTAAATTCAGGTTTTATTCCTTTATCATCCAAGTAAAATTATTCAACTAGTTTGAATTTAGTTAAATATCAATTTTATTAAGGTTAGTTTAATATTATTTTAAAAAAATTACCTTTTATAGTTTAAGTAAAATTATTCAAAGAATTCTAATTTTATCAAAATTAGATTAATATTCATAAAATAAATTATATTTTTCATATTGCCAATAATATACAAATTCTATTTGATAACTTTTTATCAAAAATTTGAATTGAATAAAAAGTATATAAAATGTAATTAACATTATTGATAAAATTTTAATAATACTTATTTGACTGAATTAAGATTAAATTTAGACTTCTAATTAATTTAGATTATTTGAGAAATGATTAAACATATCATGATAATTATATATAATTATGTAAAAACGTAATTTGTAATTATGGTAATTAATTACACATTTTTTTAAAAATGATAATTACGTAATTAATTATAGAATGAGAAATAGTTACGAAATGATAATTAATTATAAGATGGTAATTAATTTCAGGATGGTAATTTATTACAGGATGGTAATTATTCATTGTAGACGTAATTTATTACAGGATGATAATTAATTACGAGATTATAGGGTGGTAATTATTCATTGTAAATGTTCAGTTATAATGAAGTCACAATTATGAAAATGCCAAACGCGTAAAAATCTATTATATAGAAATTCGATTATCATCTAATAATGCACATGTAATTATTCTAAAAATGGTTAGATAATTTTAGATATTAACTAGCTAATTTTACCTTAAATTTATTTTATATAATCAGAAAAACAATAAATAATAATAGAAATAGGTAAATTTTTTTTAATAAATTAGAATTTTTTTATTTTGGATAGCTTATTTAATTTTTTTTTTTTTAAAAAAAAATTTTTTATTTAAACAAATAAACTTAATTAATTAATTAAATAATCAAAATTTTTTTTAAAAAAAAAAATTTTTGTTTAAATCTGACATTCTAAAATAAAAAAAAAACATTAATAAGAACATTTTCAACTAAAAATAATATGCCTTCTATTTGCCTCAAGTTCAGTTTATTCAAGTCTAACATTCTAAAAAATAAAGAAAGAAATATTAGTAAAATATTTTCAACTAAAAAGAGGGATACCCAAACCTTCTATTTATCTCAAATCCAATCTGATGTCTTAAAAAATGAAAGAAAAAACCTAAAAAATAAAAAAAGAAATATTAGTAATATTTTTAACTAAAAGAAAGATACCCTAACCCCTCATTTACCTCAAATACAGTCTGATATCCTAAAAAATGAAAGAAGAAACCTAAAAAATAAAGAAAAAATAGTAACGTTTTTAACTAAAAGAAAAATACCTCAAACTTTTCATTTACTTCGAGTCTAGTCTGACATCTTAAAAATTAAAGAAAAAATCTAAAAAATAAAGAACTATTAGTAAAATATTTTTCAACTAATAGAAAGTCTTATTTATTTCAAGTCCAGTCTAGCATCCTAAAAAATAAAAAAGAAATAAAAAAACATTAATAAACTATTTCTAACTAAAAGAAAAACACTCTAACCACCCATTTACTTTAAGTCTAGTCTGATATCTTAAAAAATAAAAAAAAATGTTAATAAAATATTTTTAATTAAAAGAAAGATACCTAACCCCATTTACCTCAAGTTCAGTCTGACGTCTTAAAAAATGAAAGTAGAAACTTAAAAAATAAAGAAAGAAATATTAACAAAACGTTTTCTACTAAAAGAAAAATATTTCAACTCCCTATTTACCTCAAGTCCAGTCTATCATCCTAAAAAATAAAAGAAAAAACCTAAAAAATAAAGAAAGAAATGTTAATAAAACGTTTTTAACTAAAAGAAAGCTACTCAAGTTACCCATTCTGATACTTAAGTCTGACGTCTTAAAAAATAAAAAAAAGAAACGATTAGCAAAATATTTCTAATTTAAAAAAAAGCTATGCAAACTCACTATTTACCTCAAGTTCAAATAGAATCTTCAAACAAACTATCTAATTTATCATTACAGCAAAAGTAAGCTAATATATTTCCTTTTTTTATGCTTATTAATATATATATATATATATTTTTTAATATTTTAATTTTTTAATTTTTTTTAAAATTGATCAGTTCTCTTACTTAGATTAAGAACAGAACTGAATTTTTGAATGAATCTATCTGAATTTAAGGCTTAAAATAATCCTAAAAAATTAGGTTGAAAGAGTTAAAAGAATGAATATTAAAAGAGGAATAGTGTTAGGATTTTTTAAAGAAATGAAAAGAACAAAATGAAAAAATGAAAAAAATTAAATTAATTGTCATTGAAGATTATTTATAAAAAGAAAAGTAAATTAATGAATTTATATTATGCATATAGAAATATTAAAATTTTTTAAAAAAACTAAAAGAATAAAATGAAAAAATGAAAAAATTAAACTAATTGAAGACTATAAATAAAAAGAAAAGTGAATTAATGAGAATAGAAAATGTTAGAATTTTTAAGAAACAAAAAGAATAAAATAGAAAAATTAAAAAATTAAACTAATTACTTACCTATAAAAAGAAAAGTAAATTAATAAATTGAATAGCTACTATATTATGTATTTATTTAATTTAATTATTTTATTATTAATAATTTAACAATAAGGTTAATAAGAATATTTTTAGGCTACTATGGTATTAGTAAGATCATTTTTTTTTTGAATTTTATCTGGTAAAGGTATTTATAGACTACCAAAATATCAAATAATTTTTTTTTTGTAGAATTTCAAATTGTCGCAATACAATTTATTAATTATTATACTAAAATAGTAAAACTAATTGTTCAAAAAAATTTATTTAAAGAACTTTAATCATAAATCATAATTTTATTTATTTTATTTGAATAGAGCCTAAAGTATAAGAATAATTTTTATATAGTTTTGGAGTCAAATTATTTTTCCTATACAAGCTCTCTTTTCTATAAATAGGTGCAATTTTTAGTGAGATAAAGCTAAATTTTGTATTTATTTTTTCTTAATATAATTTATAGCAAGATAAAGCTATAATTTTATATTATTTTCTTTTAAACAAATTTTTTCAAAAAAAACAAATAATATGACTATTCAATTAATTAGAATTAAAAAAAAAAAATCTTCTTTAGTTTTTATGAAAATTAAAATAATTTCTAATTATTTATATCTTTTAATAAAATCTTTACTTAACAAACAAATGAAAATAATATCTTCATCTGAAGATGGTAATTTAAATGAACTTTTTACTTCTATTTTTATTTTTACCTCTACTATTTCTTCTACTTTTACTTCTACTTCTGCTTTTACTTTGACTTCTACACTTACCTCTACATCTATCTCTACCTTAGTATCTATTTTTATAGATAAAAATGATCAAAAAATAATAAAAAAAATATGATCAAAAAGCTAAAGAATTAAATATTGGTTATATAATTCCCTTAAATATTAAAAATAATATACAAAATTTACAAAATTTAATTAAAAAATATAATTAAAATATTAATAAGTATCTAATTAATAATTATTTTAAAATAAATAATTCAGAAAATTGTTTTATTTATCAATTAATAAATAATGAATTATATGTATTAGATTTAATTATAAAATACTTTTTTTGATAAAAAAAGTTTCTTTTTAGATAAAAAAATCAATTATTTGAAAAACTCAATTTAGAATTAAATTATATGATGAATAATTTTAAAGATATAATTAAGAATTTCTTTTTCAAAAAAAATTCTATTATACTTATTTGATATATGAAAGTTACATGATAATGCAAGGATATAATAAATATATATTATCTATTCTTAAAGAAAAATATTATCATGTATTCAAATTTATACATAATTATATACAAGATTATTCTTTTAATTTTAACAAATTAAAAAAAAAAGTAAAGATCTATATAATGTTTTTAAAGATAATATTAAATTTAATATAATGATAAATATAAGAAAAATTCATTTTTAACATATATTAAAATCTGAAAATATATTTGAATTTTATTTTATT